CTTGTTTTCACATGCAAGATGAAATTCATTCATTCCTATTTTCATTCCTTTAATATCTTCTGAGTACACATCTTGCGCCAGGACCTGGGAGACTTAGAGGGGTAATAAGCAGACATGGCTCCTATCTTTGTGACAGGAAGGATATTAGCGTACAACAGGATATTTTAAGTACAGCTGTAAAGCAATCTTTTTGTACCTGGTTTTGCACTCTAGCCATAGAATTTTCCATTCCAGTCCACCTAGGGGCTTCCATAGGTTAGATCATACCTATGCTCAGGGTGGGGAGAGCTGTCACAGGGACTGACTCGTGTTTTGGTGGGAAGAGAGGATCTGGACAGCGAGCAGGACTAATTATAGATGCCTTCCCCTGCAGCTCATCACTGCGCCACCAACATCGCCACATTTTTAAGTCAGTCCATCTTGGGTCTCTGTGTTCTGAAGGCCTGGCTCTCCATTGTCTTCCTGCAGAAGCCCAAGGTCCTGCACAATGTGGCCGCTTCTCCTGTCAGTTCCTTCTCCTAGCCTGACTTAGTGAGTTCTGCTCAGCCACCCACCACCCTAGGGTCTCTCTGGGGAGTCTTTACATAGTGCCTGGTGAAACCTCCCTAGCGGTCTCTGGCCTCCTTACAGATCTCTTCCATAAAGACTCTGACTTTGGTCTGGAGCGGGCAGATGGCTTGTTTCTAAGATCTCGAATGGAAAAAAAAACCCACATCTTCAGGTTACAAAGCTGCACTGCATCTGGAGGGGATGTCTAGAAATATAGAGCATCCCTTTCACCACCAGGTTGGGTGGGAGAGAGTCTATTCATAGGACATTTTACTTATGAATTTAATTTTAATTTGGGAAGGGTTAAGGGTAATTCAATTCAGGTTTTAAATACTTTAAAAATACCTTTCAAATATTATCTCCCTTTATTAGGTTTGAGAAGATTGATGGAATGAACAATGGGGAGAAGGGCACAGACTCACAGCCAGACAGGCCTGCACAGTGTAAGACAGTTGCCTGGAAACAAAAAACTGGACACCTCAGGTCTTTCAGGTTCCAGCCACCTCCTCCAGGTCTTTATCCCACGGTGCCTTCTAAGAGAGGTGTTCTCAGACCTGTATAAAATTGCAGGTTTTCCCAACTTCTGGCTTTTTAAAGATTTATTTATTTATGCATACAAGAACTGGGGTACAGGCCAGAAGTGTGGGGGGTGAGAGGACTCACCAGAGACAGAGTGGGGAGCAGAACAGGCAGACTGACTGAAATACACTGCTGAGGGGAGCAATGGGAGAGACAGGAGAGGTCTGCTGTGCCATGTGGGTCAATGCCCTGGTGGGGGATCCAACTCGTGCTGCAGAGGCTGCGGATTGCTTCATAGTGCTGTGCTTACCCCCTTGCACCACCAGGGAGATCCCTTCTGGCTCTTTTTACTGCTCTTTACTACTTTATGTTTTTTCCGTAGTCAGTCAAAAATATTGTATACTTCTTTGTTCTGATGTCTTTCCTTTTAGAATAGCAGCTATACCTGGGTAAGGATTCTAGTCTTTTGTGTTCGGTTTCCAGCACTTAGTAGGCACTCAATAATGAGGACTGAGCCAAAGCTTACTGACTCTTCAGGAGATGGACCCAGCCCCTTCACTGGAGTCCTTCCTGGTCCTCCTTTCCCCTCATCACCCATGTGTTCCTGGAATCCCCCCGACAAAGTTCACCTTATTATTGATCCAGCATGAAGGCTCACATCTCCCTTCTGGGAGTCACCACTCTCAGAGTTAAGTATTCTGGTTTAAGATTCTACATGCATACTCTAGCTCAAGTACAAATGTAAATTAGTATTTCTCTGATGAAAGAAAATGTGAAAAAGATGGACTTTCAGCCAATGATCAGCTCAATGATTCAATAAAATGGTTCACAAAAATACTAACCAGACACCCACCCACCCGGTTTAGCTTCAGGCTTCTTAACCATGAGTGGAGTTCCTCAGCACTGACCTGGACTAATAACCAATGGAGCTGTGTGTTGGGTTCTGGCTGCCACATTCGAGAGAGATCTAGAGCGTGTTCAGGAGAGAAGAGGCTGGAAACTACACTCTTTGGAAGAATTGTGAATATTTACCCTGGGAATGAAAACATCAGGGGGCACAGCAGATGGCTTTAAATATGTAGCCATATTGATGAAAAATGTAGCCACTATCGAAGAAAAATTACTTCTGTGTAGTCTTAAATGAGAAATTACAAGGACATCTATTTGGGCTCAATTAAGGCAGACCTTTTTATTTTCAGTTTGTCGAGGTAGCCCAGGATGGTACAATCCAAGGGCTCCCATACAGGGCCGCTTTGGTGGGGGTGATGTGGAAGTGGGCCTTTGCGATGCTCGGAGTCGCTGCCTTGGAGCATGGGGTAGCTCCAAGCTCTCCCCATCCTATTTTTGTGTGCTACTTATTGCTACAGAGCACTTAAGCTCATTGTATTCTTTGCTTAAAACTCTGTGATTACCTCATACTTTAAAAATCATTGATTACTAAGTTTTCCTGTTTGCTTATTTGATTTTCATACTTCTAGCTGTTGCAGGAACATGGTCAAGGTTGGGCTTACAGAGGAGTTGATGTCCAGCCTCCTCACTTCCTTTTATTCCGGACCATGGTCAGGCCTTTCTATCATTCTGGACACACTCTCACAGCAGATGGATGAACCGGGCTGAGAGCCCACAAACATGATGCTGGGAAAAAGTGCTCCAATGTCCCGGATGAAGAGAAGGTTCATCCAAGGTTATAGCTAAGGCTGCCAAGGGCATTTCCCCATGTCCATGCCATCCTCCCAGGCCAGGCTGCAGGGCGCACTGCAGGTGGGAGGTGGTGGATGGTGGGTGTTGAAGACCAAGCTCTTAATGCATATTCTACCCACGAAGTGTATATCCTCAATCCTGGATAATCTTATACCCCAGCAGAGTCCTCATGATCACTCAGGATGTAGACCCACCTGCAGCTCTGTTCCCACTGGTCTTCACTGTGATGAGCTCTCTAGCACCTACAGTTTTGGTTCTTCTCAGCTCTCTCTCTCTCTTTTTTTTTAAAGATTTATTTTATTTATACAAGAACCAGGGTACAGGCCAGATGAGCGGGAGGGTGAGAGGATTCACCAGAGATAGAGCAGGGAACAGGCAGAAGGACCGAAATACACTGCTGAGGGGAGCAGCGGGCGAGACAGGAGAGGTCTGCTCGCCATGCGGGTTGCAGCAAGGCCTGTGGGGATCGAACCAGCGCTGCAGAGGCTGCGGACAGCTTCACAGCGCTGTGCTCAACTGCCTGTGCCACCAGGGAGGCCCTGCTCTCACCTCTTAAACACCAGGTCCTTTTACTGCTCTCCACCTGGGATGTCTGCAGCCACTTTGTTGCTCCTCTTCTCCTGGCACAAAGCTCCCAGTTACCCTCTCAGTTCTGGTCTCTGGCACCTCAGGCCTGCTCACCTGCACATCTCTGAAGCGATCTTTCCTTGCCTCTCATCAGACCCCTTCTCCAGATAGTCCTCCACAGGGCCAGCCAGAAGGGCCTTCCCAGTGCACTAATCTGACCGTTTCGTTTACATCCTAAACTCTCCTCCACAGTTCTCAGGATCAAGTCCAAACTTCTCGTCAAGGCAACCAAGGTCCTTTCCGACCTGAGGCCTATCAACATTCTCTCTTAGCCACCCCAGCCCTCTGCATCTCCACCTTCTAGTGGCACCAGAGGCCTCCCAATGGGTCCCTTCTCTAGGGGCTGCGGAGGGCTGCGCTGGGGTAAAGCCTCCTGGTGTCTCCAGCCATGCAACTCTTTCTCCTTTCGTGGCGTTGGTTACACTGGGACCCCCTTAGGGTGCAAAGCAAATCCTACCAATGTCGGGCTGGTGTCCCCAACAGCAGCAGTGCACACTGAAGGACTGCAGAAGGCGATGGCGGTCAGCGTGCTCCTCCTGTTCTGAAAGCCGTCCCCAGGGGACGTGGAGTGGGCCAGAGGAGGAGGGTCAGGTGTACAGGGGTTTACTCTCGATCTGCCGTTAACAAGACTTATGACTTCAGAGGAGGACAGGATAAGTAAAAAAATCTCCTAAACAAGGAAATAGGATGACTTACATGCTGACATTTTTTTCTCATTTAAGCTTTGGTTCTATAGTAGCATGCTCCATGTATAATTTCTTGATCAACAGCTAACTCCTACTGATAAGAACATAAAAATTCCAATTTTTGTACTTCTATGTTACTTTTCTATTAAAAAATGGTTAAAAGGCAGAAGGTGGGCACTATAAAGCCTATGTAGCTTTATCATGGGATGCAGGGAAGTTCCAGAAGGTCTTGATTCAAATGCTGTGTGACTGGAGCTCTGTGGGGGCGAGAGTGGGGGGCAAAGCTGTTCTCCCATAAAATTACATAGTTATGTAAACAACTTGCAAATTAATAAAATTTGAGAAAAACAAATAAATGTCCCATGAGTTCCTTATTATTGTGGGACTTGGGACAAGTTCCCAGATGGCTGAGAGGCTCTTCTTTGCCCTGTCACTAGGCCGCCAAGGAGTTGTTACCTTCTTCCTCTAACAGCTTCCAGGAGATCTGGGGATACAGGGCTTCATTTAAAAATAATGTTTTTGGTACTTTTTAAACAAAAGGGTATATCAGTTTCTTAATTCACTTTCTACCCCAGATGCTTCTTAAGTTATAACATTACTCTTATAAAGATGTTATTCTATGTCACTGATGTGCAGACCTACTCTCTTTGGCATCTTTTAAAGGAAATACAATATTTTACAATATTAAACATATAACAAACAAACCAGCAATTGTAATGCCCCAATGAATCCTGAAAATTTATTATTTGGGAGAATATCAGATATTAATCATTTGTTTTACAGCTCATGATAATAATCAAAAAGTATACATTTGAAATGAAAGTCAAAAGAATAATTACATATAATACAGATTACAGACATTTTATTTGTACATAAGCAAAGCAGTACTAAAAGCAGACTTATATTCACAATTAGTAATGGTGGCAATTTTCTGTTTAAAGCTGCAGCAACTCAAATCCTCCTAGGGTCAATAAAGAAAAACATTGAGAAATACATTTAGGGCTATCACCATGTCTGGCTGTAAACCTATTTTTAATCTTTCCCCTCCCCATATATATATGTATATATTTTATTGCCTTTATATTTCTGCTGGTTTAATATAATTAGTATACTAAATAGTTATCTGCATTTATTTGGTTTCTAAAAATATATAAAATGCATTGGAATAGAGCTCCTGCAGCTTTCAAGCAGTCACTGTCCTGGCATTGAAAGCTTGTTCTGAGAATGTAAAGCAGCAATACAGAATAAATAGTGATTGTTTTGTCTTCTCCACACAGCTGATGGCCTTCACCCAAACTTAAAAAAAAAAAAAAATACTGTAGCAAACAGTATAAACATGCAACTTAAAAAATGGACGTAATATTAAAGTAATACCCATGAGCTGAACTTTAACACAATACAGACTTATCAACTACAACTCTGGGTAGAAGAGGGATATGAACACAGCATTGTTATTTACATGTAAATTAAGGCCCAATTGTTCAAAGGCAATGCAGGGAACTGCCCCTCAGCTGATGCCCTTTGCACACCTGAAATCAAGAGTTTCTGCCTTTTCCATATTATTTCTTCAATCCATTCTCTAACTTGGAAAGATGTTCACAGAAATGGCTTTAAATGAAGTCTCTCTTCTGTAAAGACCATTTTGCTCTTATTCACAAAGAAAATTTCTTTTAATGCAGGAACAAATTTCACTTATGCTCTGGAAGCAAGGACTAATTTGTTCTTTGTATACACGGTTAAAATTCCCATTTCACACCACAATTTCTCCATTTTCACTGTTTCAGTTTTGTTTTAGCTCAAGTTTATCACTGATTGGAACTACAGGAATTGGTGATTAGATCAGAGGTGCCTGCTGGCCTTGAGTGGATAACTCTTTTGTATCAACCAAGTGCATCAAGACAACACTCAAATGCTACAAACCCAAATTATCTCATAAGAATAACAGAAGGACTAAGGCAGCCCCTAAGGGGCCATTCTCTGAGGATGACAGACATTCCAAGGGACAAATGCACCTATGCCTTGTCAAATGATTTTCCAATGTGTTTAATACCTATAGAAAACTGCAATAAAACTTTTGGTGTAATAGTTTTTTTTAAAAAAGCTTGTGATCTAATTTGATATTTAGAACCTGAATTGTCCCTGTAGACGCAAAATTTTATACTTGGTATTTTTTGTATACCATTTCCCACTCCCTGCTCTGAAATGTATCCAAAGATGTGGCACTTAGTCTAATTCATTTGTATTTATAAAAGATAAAAATGACCAGGAAGAGACTATCTTTAAGATGTTCTAGGGAAGTGAGTTTTTCTTGTTTTAAAAAAAGACTTAGAAAATATTTCTTAGAGATGTGCTTTCAGAATAGGACTGACTAAAAAGGCCAGCTGCTCGATGTTTTCACTAGATTCACACTTAGATCCCCCACCCTCCCTACCTGTAACGAGGTCCATGAAGATGGTCTGGCAGCTTGAGGACTTGGGCGAAGCTGTCAGAGAGGTTTACTGGGCTGCTGCTTGGAAACCAAGGCTCCTGCTGGCGGGAAGGGCGCTGCCAGGCTCTCTCTGAAGTCACTAGGTTAATGCTGATAGTACTTGACCACTATTAAGTTGGCTACTGACTTTGTGTTTTTTATGACATACCAAAGCATCATTGCAATTTACAAGTGCAAAGTTTAATATACCTTCAGTTCAACAGTTTGATTTTTAAATAGGACTATGTTAAATTTATAAAAATGTTTTTCTTTGTGAATAAGATCTCAATTTCTCTGAACAACAGTAAGAAAATGACTCAGTAGAGGATGGAATCCTTTAAAAATAAGGCATATACTGGACATACATAAGTCATTGTCACAAAATCTACAAATTATTTTGACGTAAATTTTCCTCATTTTAAATCTAGTATGTACATATGAAATAACTATTATAAATTGAGAGCAAAAGCGTGTATGTTGTGGTTATCTAGGTAATTTCTCAAGTTATTCACAAAATGGTATAATGGCAAGGTCAACTTGTTAACTCCAAGAACCCAAAGAAAACAATATCTTTAGCTGAGGTCAGCCATTTAGCTGCACTAGGAAAGGCAACTCTGCATTATTACTTTCAGTTCTCTAGAAGCTCCTATGTATTTTCATAACCATTCTTAAATTTTTTCATTGGAAATCTAAATATAGCAGCATTCTCAGCATTCATTAAACCAAAAATAAGTCAAATGTGTTAAAACATTCAAAAATGCCCTCATGCATAAGATGTAACATGTCTTTTTATTGTTACCATGGCATTAATATACTAATCCATTTTAACTTTGTTGCATGTAAATAATACAGAGAATGTATTTTCCTCAGAATTAAGCTACTTTCAATTTCAGAGTATAAGTCTCAATCATATTGTACCAAAGTTTGATCAGAGGGAATGTAAAAATGGTGAAGAGGTAACTGACCACATCTCTCCAGTGAGTCTTAAAGCCACTACTGATGGGAGGGAGACTGACTCATTTTTGGTTTGATAAATAATACACACACACACACACACAAATGGAGGTTAATGTACTGTGAAAGTCAAGTTTGAAAATAAAAACATACGTTGAACTGAACTTTATTTTCTTGGGAAAGTACCTAACTCCAATCTGCTTTCACTAAGTGAATGGGGAAATGGTAATAGTCCATACTGTACAGAGTGGCTGATGAATGGACAAGAGTTTACCCGTGGGTGTGCATACTGGCGGGTCACACTTAGGAAGTGTGTTATTTTAAGCTGAGTTGCTGAGCGTCACCTTCCTGAAGCAGATGGACCAGGTCCTTGGTTATCTCTAATTTATGTATCCTCTGATAATTCTGAGGAGTCATGAGAGTAAAATGATAAGGCAGGGCAGAAATAAGACATATAATGTATCAGGAAATCCCCAGGCCTGTGTGGACAGATATTCAAGAATTATGGTTTTGTTCAAAAGTGTCTGAAGCACTGCCAGTATTTTAAGTGTATAGTTTACCTCACAAAAATGTATCTGTTCTGGTATGTGGTCATTCATATACTGGAAATACTGTAAAGAAAAGATTAAACTCTAAATTAAATAGAAAACCTGAATTATGTCACCTAAATCAGTCATGGTGAGGACAGGTTCACAAAATAAATGCAAGTGGGTTCTTCGGGCAGTGGGTGGGGGTGGGGGTGGGGGGGAGAACCCTACAACACCTGTGCAGTTGCAAATCAGCATCGTGGGGACGAAGTCTGGAACATGTGTCACCACACATGAGGTGATGTGCTTGCATCACAGGATGAGTGTTAATAAAAAACAGAACACATGAACATTCACACATTAATGGATTACATGGAATAAATTAAACTAAGCCAGTCACATATCTCTCTTCACTCTGAAGTCACGGGTTTATTTGTGTGCACACACAGGATAGACTGCTCTCCTGAGTGCTCTCGACATGCTACAGACATAAATGAAGGCTTTGCATTACAGCTGCTGGACAAAAGCGTCAACACTGTCGATGTGCGCAAACACAGTTTCTTTGTTCTTTAGCCTCAGTGCACAGGGTAGGGCTCCGGGTGGTGTGCAATTTAGGACAGAAAAAGATACTGTGGCCTGTGAAATAGATCCTTTGTTCATCATTGGCACTAGTCAAAGAGGGAACATTACTGTCCCTGGAACCATTCTGGGTCTCTCCCCTGAAGACAGATACGTCATACATATATGCCTTCGGGGTTAAAACCAGATGAGAAGGGGTTCTGGAGAACACGGAGGTTACTGGGGAGCTGCCGAGATGAGCCGGGCCGCTTCAGGGACCCAGACTGGAATGGAGACTCTAAACAGGAAAACAGGGAGTCACTCAGTGTACTCATCGACTCGGAGCACTCAGCATTATGAGAGTCTGGAACATCCCTCCAAACCCCCGAGAACAAAGTGGAAAAACTGCAATCCCTTGGGGTGTTGGGGCCCCTCACTTGACAGAAGTTTGCAGTGATTTGAACAGTTAATGATGTTTTTCAAAGGATGAACACTTTGCTTCTCCTTCTTGAATGTTCAGACCGTATGCATACATTGACGAAGTGCCTTAACTACAGCACCAATTACTAATAAAGACTTTGCGGGGAGGAACAGAGAAGACACTACTCAAGTGAAAAGACTACAAATGACTCATACAGATCTCAGGAAAAAACCTGACAGAGAAGCAGTTTAAAAGGAGGGCAATGCAATTTGGTGAATACATGCTCATCTAAATAAATAACTGAAATACTGATTTTCCCCCAGAAAGGGAAGTACATTAAAATGTCTTCTAAGTGGCCCAAGAATTAGCTTTGAATGGTACTCTGAAAGCCGACAGTGTATTCAAAGTTAACCAGTGAGGATTAAGTAAAACAGCACATTTCTCAGCATCTTACCCCTTTCTATGTCTGCGTGTGAGGCCTCTACTTCAATGGGCTCCGCTGGCAAAACGGTCACTTTTGTCCCTGTCTGCTGGATAAACTGTTGGAGGTTGACTTGCCGCAGCTCTTTAGTCAACTGCTCCAGTTCTTGTTCTTTGTCCTAGATGGAAGTTACATTTTTTTTAATTGGAGTAGTCACTACTGGCCAGCTAAAGAGATCCCGGTGAGGGGCCATCTGCTACAAGGGTGGAACGTGGGTTCCTTTCATTCACAGGGGCACAGTCACCAAAGCTGGTTCCCATTGTGGCAATGGGCTAATGCGGTCACTTTCAGTCTGTGGCAGGGACCAACAAATAAGCAAATAAAGGCCAACAGCTTCTTTACTCTGTTCTCCCAAATGTAATGTGTCACTCTGCTAGGAATACACTACACACCTGATGAAACGAACACAACTGTCATCAATCAATCACCCATCCCAAGGTTTATGGCAATTTTGCAAACTACTCATAGTTAAATTTTCCTTTTATTCACACCATAACTGACTGCAAACAGTCATCTGATCTGTGGGATTCAGAATTCTTGTTTTTTGGTAAACTGTTCATAAAGTTTTCAAGGGATCATTTATATTGTAGTATGAGGAAGGCAAAATGCCCACAAGAGTTGAACAGTGGGGCTTTAATTTATTTTTAAATAAATTCTATTGATTTTTGCCATCGATTTACAGTATGATGCATATTTCACACTGTGTGTGTGTGTCTGTGTGAGTGTGTGTGTGAGAGAGAGGGGGAGAGAGAGAGAGCGCGAGCGAGAGCAAGAGTCTCACCTATACCCCCACCGGTTTCTAGTGCCTTCTCACTCTCAGGCTGATGTCATCCTCTCTCCTTCCCTCCTCCCAACCGCCCTGTCCCCTTGGTAACCCACTACACTCCATTTCCTCCTGGGCACCACAGAGTCTGAGAGATATTTTGTGGTGATTTGTTAGTGTCTTTTGCTTTGTTTCTTTATTCCACATGAGTGAAATCATGTGGTGCTTGTCTTTCTCCCTCTGATCCCCTTCAGTCCCATCCATACCACAAACCAAAAGTTCAACATTTTCAAAAGTTACTCAGTATTCCCTTGAGTATACAGACCATAGCTACGTTACCCACTCAGTGGGTGTTTAGGTGGTTTCCATGATTTAGCTATTGTGAATAATGCTGCTATGAACATAGGGATACATCAATCTCTTCAAATTAGTGTTTTCATGTTCTTGGGATAAATTCCCAAGAGCGGTATTGCTGGGTCACGTGGCATTCACTATGAAGTTTTTAAATCTCTGACAAAGAGAGGTCTGAGAACTGAAGAGCGCTGAAGAAAGGAGAGCGAGATTGGATAACCAGAAAGCTCCAAAAGCAAGTGGCACTCAATTATGTAAATGACTTTTCTTCTCTTTCTCTCCGTACTGCACTATAAGAAAAGAGCAAATTCCCTCTCAGGCTGCTGTCTGAGGATTTGGTGGGGACAAGACAATAGAAAGTATGGGTTGTTTTCTCTATTTTGAGTATAGAGTGTACTTGGAGACAGGTTAGTAGTTTGATTATTGGACCCTTTTTGATGGGCTATGGGATTTACTAATAATGTGGTCATAAATCATATTCCTTTAAGGAATATCACAGGAAACTATTTCCAATTACATCCTTGTGTCAAAATGAATCTAAATAGTAAAATGCTGACAAATCAGAGGTTAACAACCTTCTGCTACATTAGAAGTGCCTTTTCAAAATGTGGGTAGTAGTAGTATTGCTTAATACAGTTGTTGCTTGAGAAAGGAAATTATGTCAGGTCTTCTGGAAACCTTGACTGTCTGTACCCATGGGACACTGTGCTGAGGCACTGTTTGGAGATCTTGTTACAGTGTAGATTCTGAATTTCTAACAAGTGTGCCATGAAGCTGAGTGGATGGGTGAGTAACGAACTTCTAAACCAGCACTGTCCAGGAGAACTTTCTCTGATGGTGTAAGTATTCAATAAAGCAGCTGGTATACATATTTGCAATTCAGCACTTGAAAAATGGCCAAGTCTAACTAAAATCAGAATTTTTAATTATTTTAAAACAGCCTCAGTGTTATTTAATTTTAGCTAATTTAAACTTAAGTAGTTATATCACATCAGTTCCTTCTTGTCTTGTCTGTTGGAGACAGACACCTCTGTTCCACACTCCTAACAAAACATCACTGCACTGTCCTTTCAAGAACTGGTATCAAAGAAATACAAGTTGAGAAATTCCCGTGTTCTTAGACTACAGAGAGGGGTCACAGCTAAGCAGGACGTCTCCTCAGGAAGGAAGATGGGGCTGACAACCAGTGACAGATACGAAGGCAACTAGGAGTGCTCCCTGCTGAAATGACCCTTAGTGATCTGTTTCAGCTTCAGTGTCCCTAGTCCTGGAAGGAGAAGGTCAGTGTCTGTCTCCTCATTAATGTCCACTTCTGCATGGGGACCCTCTGCTCCTGGGTACAGTCACCTAATGCCACAAGCACCAGGGTAAGAAAGTGCCCTCCTGAGCAAGGATCCTGGAGGCTGTAGTGCTCATCTTTGTCTGAGTCTCACACCTTAGCTTTGTCATAAGCCGCAGGAACTTAAGAAACTTATAAACCAAGGCAGGAAGGCTTCTAATTTTAAATGGAAGAGCATCTGGACAATCACCTCAAGACGATAACCAGTCTATAAACATGTTCTTACCTGCAAGCGTTTGGTGGCTTGTCCCAGAGACCTTTCCACAGCTTTGATGCCATTTTCCAGCCGCAGGCTCTGCTGGCCTTGAATGTCGATTTCCCCCTTGACCTTGCCAATCTTCCCTTTGACCTCTTCTTCATTGACTTGTGCCTCCTGCACTTCCCGTTGCAACTTTTCTGCTTCAAGACCGCTTTCCATGGTTTGGATCTGGGCCAAGTAGTCCTTTAATTTGCTCTCACATTCTGTTATTTTCTGTCTTATTTCTTGAAGTTGATCCTTCAGCTGTTTTTCATTTTCCTGTTCAATCTGTAATTCATTTTCCCAAAATTCTTCCTCCTCAATTTCTACATCATTTCTTTTGATCTTTTGCTCCAGGCGGACAATTTCCTCTTCAAGGTTAGAACTGTATTTTTGTTCCCAAAATCGTATTTCTATGTCATTTGATTCCAGCTCTTTCTCAATGGATTGAAGCTTCTCTGTCTGCAAACGGATTAGCCTCTTTAACTCATCTGCTGTAGTTTTGCAGTTATTCAGCACCTTTTGCTTAAATTCAGTTTCTTTACCTTTTCCAAAAATGTCCATTAACCCTTTGGCACCTCCTGTAAATGTCAATGATTTCCTCTTAGGTTCTCTCCTTTTGATTGATTTGTCAATCTGGGGCCTCAGTTTCGCTAAAGGGGGCAAACTCTGCCGGTATAAAGTTCTTTCAGGAATTCGAGCCACACTGTCTGAGGTGGGTCTCTCGCTGAGAGATGGCCCTGTTCGACGTAAAATGAGCTGCACATCGCTAGCATACTGCCCCCATTTGTTTAAGGATATGATGGGATTTTCATGAGGTGCTAAGTGTCTTTCAGTATCTCTCCATTTCTCTATAAGTGTATACCTTCCAGTTCGACCTAGATTAAAAAGAGAAAGAAAAAAAATCACCAACATGGCATACATGATAACTGAAAGAATGCACTAGCGGATGCTCTTAGGTAATTGTGTCTTCATGATTAGGCTCAAAGCCCAGTCCACACTGCCTTTAAACCTTTCCCTTAAATATACTCAACTTCCTGAGATACATAATGAAAAACTACAGGATGCGTACTACATGTGCTACTCTTCACACTTGCTGAGATATTCAACTTTATACCTTTGAACTCAGTGAGGCTCTCACACTCCTGTCAAATGCCTGGTGGCCTCCATGTTCCTGTTTAGGACTTGGTTCCATGAATGAGGTGGAAATGTCCAAACTTGAATAAACTTCCACATTGTGAATTCCTCTGCTTTCTGTGCACATCAGGACTTAAGGAGGTTGTAGGCCCTGTTCCCTCCTGAAGGAGACAGGGAGATAGTGGGGAACCGGCCACTGAGACACCAGGTAGCTGGACGGGTCTGGCCTGTTTCTCAGGCAGGTGCACACAGCTGCCCTCTCCCTGCACATCTGTGGCAAATTTCCTATCAAAAAAAGAGGCTAAACAAAAGGCTCGTTCAGATGTGATAGTAATGATTTCAAAGATTCAAAAATGTTATTAATATACAGTCAGAATATAAAATTAATTTAAATTAATATGGTAATGGAACTAGTAATTGTGGAAGACAAAGTTTCAAAAGACAATATGATGATATCAGTATGAATAAACTTCTTAAATACTTCCATTTAAGGTAAGTGGGTCAGTTAAATTTCTTTAATTTTGTTAAGTATCCATTATTAGTGATAATATCAAAAGGTCATTATTAATATTGTCAGAAAGGCAAAAAACACCCTACCATCTCTAGTAATTGTAATATTGTTCTATATAGCTATTGATTTATCTTCCCTGCCATTTTTTTAAATTTCATGAGTTTCTGTGCCAATAGTAGCATTTTCTCAATTCCTGGGTCAATAATGGAGATCTGGATGAGTAGCTATGAACACCCATGTAAACAATTCACAAGTATTGCCTGAAGAATGATTTTGGCCTAAGCATATGGAATTTTCAAGGAATCTGAATCTTGGGTGCAGCTGAAGGTGGGGCTTCGAAGGCAGACTGGAGTTTTAATCCAGGGTAAATTCGGAGGAAAGTAGCATGACTTTGCTTCTGTAATGGCATAGAAGCTCACAGGTGCTGGGAGTCAGGCATGATCACATCCTCCACAGTGCCTGGCCTGCAGAGTTCATTCCAGGGCAGCCATGGTTAATTTGGGCCTTTGTTATTCACACAGCAAGAAGGCAGACAAGAAACCTTCTTTATGTAGTGATGCAATGTGAAGATGACTTTAATAAAACCCTTAAGCAGCTTTTAGTACCTGTCAACTATGTAAAACAGAATGGAGCGGAATGAACATGGACTCTGGAGGGTGAAGGCCCGTGTTCATGCCTGGCACTGTCTTCTATTTACTTGACTTGTGCAAATTATAAAATTTCCTTTAGCTTCTGTTTCTTCACTTAGAGGATGAGAATTGTGTTTTCTCACCTGACAACCTTGTGAGTCAGGTGAAATATGGAACATACAAATGTTCTGTGAAACTGTGAAGTGTTATACAAATACCAGTTGTTACTATTATCAAAATACCTGTGCAAACAAAGGGAATGAAAAAGAAAGCCTGAGAACCCAGGTTAGCTTCTATGAAATAAAAAATGTCTCTAGTTATTTTAGGTTAAAAATTACTACAGTTATCCCAAGAAAAACCACATGACAAATCTGAGGTTAAAACTGTTCACGTGTGCACAATGCTTCAAAGACCACAGTCCTGTATGCTCCTGCCACCGCTGCCTGTCAGCTATCTAGCCTCCATGTCCTGAATAACATGAGGGGTGAGACCTGGACAGCACAGCCTTCTCCAATCCTGTCAGACCAATGAAACATCTTTACAAAGAAAACAGAAGCACTACATTACACCAGCTAAATTTAAAAAGTTGAAATCTCATTTTTTGTACATTTTTATCTAATTCATATTAAAATCTATATAATAAACAAAGTTGATGTTTTCCAATAACCAATGGTACTATTTAGCCTATGAGAATGTTTTGTTAAGATTTAGAATTGCTTTTACTGTCAGTTTCCCCTTTTTAAAAAAATTAGATATGTACAGTACAAGTAGGCATAAAGAAAAAAGTTTTCAGCCAGCAATTAAAAAAACAAACTTTTTTTTTAAAAAAATGATAAATCTATTAGTACCTTTGATTTTATTACAGAAATTAGGCTTTAGGGTAGTTTAAGGGAGACATAAATGCCATAATCATTGTTTTTAATATCCGTACTTGGCAAGGCCCTACAAATCACATCCATTTCATTCATATAAGATTCAAATTCCTTCTATAAAATTCCTTTTAGTCTATTTTATTAAATGGATACATTTATTGTTCCACCTTGCATACTATCTTTATGTTGCCCTAAAGCACATAAAAAAGAACATCACACATTTGTTGTCTGTCTCTCTCTCTCTCTCTCTATCCATCTGTGGCATTTGTAGTTAAGCTGTTAGTTAGGCTATCATGTCTGTGTGCCACATGAAATAATAGTAAATAAAATATTGGTTACACTTTTTTTTCTTTTTTCTTTTTTTTAAAGAGGCAAGCTTTATTTATTTATTTATTTATTATTTATTTATACATACAAGCACTGGGTACAGTCAGAAGCGAGGGAGGGTGAGAGAATTCACCAGAGCCAGAGCGGGGAGCAGAGCAGGCAGAAGGACCGAAGTACACTGCTGAGGGGAGCAGCGGGCGGCAGGAGAGGTCTGCGCGCCATGCGGGACCCTCCTCCGGTGGCCGGGGAGTAGCCGGGGATCGAACTGGTGCCGCAGAGGCTGCGGGCAGCTTCGCAACCCAGCGCTCAACCGCTGCGCCATCGGGGAGGCCCTGGTTACACTTTTGAGCAGATGAAGCAATTGTCTAATTCCAAGAATCATTAACTTTATGGGTCACCCAAAAACACTATGCCTTTATTTCAACCATCTTTAAGATACAATCCTTTTTTTAAAAAATAATTCTACTTAGAGTCAAATTTCTACTTAGAGCCAAAAATTAAAATTATAATTTAAAAATCATATCTTGTCATTTATTTACAAATATATACTGAACACCTAAAATTATGATTTATAATTTTTTTTAAAGATTTATTTTTATTTATACAAGAACTGGGGTACAGGTCAGATGCTTGGGAGGGTGAGAGGATTCACCAGAGACAGAGTGGGGAGCAGAATAGGCAGATGGACCGAAGACCTGCTGAGGGCAGCAGCAGGCGAGGCAGGAGAGGTCTGCCATACCATGTGGGTATCTCCCTGGCCGGCTGGGAATCAAACCCGTGCTGCAGAGGCTGTGGATAGCTTCACAGTGCTGCGCTCAACCCGCTGCACCACCAGGGAGGCCCTAAAATTATGATTTAAAAGTCCTATCTTGTGGAATTGCCAGATCATATGGTAGCTCCATTTTTAGTAGACTGAGGAACCTTCAGACAGCTTTCCACAGTGGTTGGACCGGTTTGCACTCCCCCCAGCAATGTAGAAGAGTTCCTTTTTCACCACATCCTCGCCAACATTTGTTGTTGCTTGTTTTTTTTGATATGTGCCATTTTTACTAGTGTAAGGTAGTATCTCAGTGTGGTTTTGATTTGCATTTCCCTGATGATAAGCACAAAAACAGTGATTCAAAAGAGCACCTGCACACCTATGTTTATTGCAGCACCATTTACAATAGGTAAAACCTGGAAACAACCCAAATGCCCAAAAATAGATGACTGGATCACGAAGATGTGGTATATATACACAATGGAATATTATTCAGCAATCAAAAAAGATAAACTCATGTCATTCACAGCAACATGGATGGAGCTAAAAGGAATTATGCTCAGTGAAATAAACCAGAAGGAAAAATAAAAATATTGGATGGTTTCACTTGTAACAGGAATATAGGGGAACCAAATAAGACATCAGTGTAAAAAAAAAATCATAACAGTACAAAACACAACAAAGCAAAAACAGACGATTATAAACCAGAGACAAACTGCAGGGGAGAAGGCAGGAGAGGGGTGAGAGGGAGGGAGGAGCACAGGGGACTGAGGTGATGGTGCACGGGCGCCTTGGAGAAGGAAATTCTATGGGGACTCAATCTGAGGGGGTGGGGGGAAGCAAATATTATCTAAAAAATGTAAAAAATGATAAATGCTAAAATAAAAACATAAAAAAGTCATATCTTGTTATTTATTCAACAAGTATGTACTAGACCCTAAATACTGTCAGGTCCTGGGGATATACCTTCTATTTAAACACCTTGATTGTCAATCTCTTCATAAGTTTTAACTGACATTTGATTTATTCCTCAGTATCAACTCCTCCCTATTCCAGAGATAAGTACCATACATTATTCAAAAGAATGTGACAGAGAGCTGGCACTTGTATTCTATGAACCTACTGTGAACATATCCTCCTGTTTCTGGACATGATGGAAATAATGCTAGCTTACCCTTTACTCATGTTGAATAAACTATCCTACTCCATTACACTTTTCTGATAACATAGGCTTTGTTCCTTGAGCTATAAAAATATTTGTGAAAATTTTATGAATTATCCTGTACATTCTAGGATTCTTATGCAGTCTCTGGGTGAATACCACTGATCTGTTCCACAATGACTTAGAATTCTTAAAATGTACACTGATCTCTGTAACAGAACCAGTTTTTCATCATGTTAATCTGCTGAATGCTTCTGATGCGTATACATTATCTACATGTAATAAAACATAATCTTAACGGGTCCTGTGACTTAAGCAGTGTAGGTATTATAATCCTCAATTTACTTGTGACAAAATCACAACTTAAAGAATTTAAAACAATTTCCTGATGACATAGAGCTATTCTGCTAATTTACCAATGCATTTCCTATAAGTCCTGTGTTATGCTACTAACGTAACTCTAAACATATTTATCTTATG